TTGTGTTTAATACAGCACCTAGCACAGTGGGGTCCTGGTCCATGAGTAGCACTCCTAGGCACTACTGTAATATAAATAATAAGAATGGCAGCTTCTCTGATGTTCTTTCCTCCATGCAATGTATTCGGACATGACACATGACATTCAGTGAAGTCCCCCGCATGCAGTCAAGCAATCAAAAGGTAGTTCTTCCAATGTAAAGGACCTTTTCAGGAAAGGGTAAAGTTATCAATTATGCTTCAAATACTTCAATCACAGAAAGTGCATTTCTCACATAAATTGAGAGAAAAAAAAACCCTCCATGTTCTGCTCCGCATAGCAGCCTAAAAATCATAGGGTGCGTATAAGAAAGAATGCATATAGAAAGTAGAAAGCTAGCCACATATATGCATGTAGTTACAAAGGGACACTATATATGTCGGTCTTAAATCCATATTTTCTTTCATCTTATGCTTGGGATACACTGGCCCACCCAGATGAGGAATTTAATCCAGTAGGTTAAATTTAGCAGTAGGCAGTCTAATATATTAAAGGGTTTTTTCCCCTACTAGTATTCAACCTGAATTGAGATCGACAAAACTGCCAATAACTCAAGGCATTTTGCAAGGTAAGTCAAAGAAAGCAGCCAAGATCAATGTACTAAAATATAGCTAGTGGTACACTATCAACTGGAAGACGCTATACCTACAGGTATTTTAGGTTTCATAGACACTGTAGAAACGTAGGGCTGGAAGGGACCTCAAGAGGTCATCCAGTCCAGCCTTCTGTGCTGAAGCAGGTCCATGTATACCTGACAGATGTTTGTCTAACCTGTTCTTAAACCTCTAATGATGGGGATTCCACAACCTTCCTAGGTAACCTGTTCCACTGTATAACTATCCTTAGTTAGAAAGCCTCTCCCCCCCCCCCCCCCCGCAAATATCCAACTTTAATCTCCTTTGCTGCAAACTATGCCAATTACTTCTTGTCCTACCCTAGGGGACATGGAGAACAATTAAACACTGTCCTCTTTAATAACCACCACCTTTTACATATTAAAAGACTTACCTGGTCCCTCCTCGGCCTTCTCTTCTCTAGACTAAACATGCCCAGTTCTGTCAACCTTTCCTCGCTGGCCATGTTTTCTAAACCTTTTAGCATTTTTTGTTGCTTTCCTCTGGACTTTCCTCAGTTTGTTCACTTCTGAAAGTGCAGTGCCCAAAACTGGATACAGTACCTCAACAGAGGCCTCATCAGTCCTGAATAGAGCTTAACAGTTACCTCCCATGCCTTATATATGACATTCCTGTTAATACATCCCAGAATGATGTTTGCCTTTTTCACAACACCTTTGCACTGTTGCCATATTCAATTTGTGATCAGCTATAAGCCCTGTATCCTTTTAAAAGAAAGGAACTGCCAATATCATTCTCTGTATTTACTCATCCAGGTTCTATTGATACTACACAGCAAGTCAGAATACTGCCAGCTCCCACAGACCATGGGTGAAATCCTGGCCCTTTTGAATTCAATGGCAAAGTTTCCATTGACTTCAATAGGGGCAGGATTTCACTCTATTTCTCATCTCATCTCCTGCCCCAGGGACCTCCGGATGCCAACTGGCAGAGGGCGTAAGGGTTACAGGAATCCCCTATGTCTAGTATTTCCATGCTAGTTCACCAAAGACTGTCCTGGGAGGTCTCTAATGAAAGCCTATGTGTCACTGCTCATCACTATCATTGCAAAACACATGTATGGCTGTTGGGTAAGGAGTTACACACACATAGAAAATTATGTTCTTACGGTCTGTGTCTAGGGACTGGTCACCAGCAAAGGAGACAAGCAAGTTTTCTTTCAGACAAGTAACATTTGTCCATTTACATGTATATTAAGAATTGTGTTGTTCACAACAGGCCTCCACTCATAGATCTGAACCAAATGCTAATGAAGGATTGTAAAGTCTTCAAAGAGAGGAAATTAACAGCAAGAGGTAAATAGCAGGGATTATCCTGTTTAGGAGTAACCCAACAAATTTTTGAAACTATATCTGATAGGGTTGCCAACCCTCCAGGATTGGCCTGGAGCCTCCCAGAATCGGCATCGATTTCATGGTGACTATTGAAAGCAATCTGGGAGATTTAAATAGGATATTTTAAGAAAACGACATTATGTCATGTTGGGGAAAAAATCTCCCGGAATAGCTTCAGTCACAGTTGGCAACCCTAATAGCTGAGGTACAGATGAATCCCTAGGTATTCCTTCAATCTGCAGTCAGTGGACTTGATCGGATGAGAAGGGGTCTCAACCAAACTGCTTGAGAACACTGAGGAAAGAATTTTGAGTAAGCTTTGCTGTAGGAGATAGAGGAATGCCTTATTAGTTAAGTTTAGTCTCTAGAAAACATGTTACCATTTGTTTTATATGTAGCCATTTCATTTCTGACCAATATTCTTACTCACTATCACTTGAATCTCCATTCTTTGGAAATATATTTATAGTAAAAACAAGAACAAGTTTTAGTTCTGTGCGTTCAGCAGAGCTATGTTCTAAAGTATAACTAGTAAACTGGGGGGTACTGTTCCTTTGGGAACAGCAGGCCTGGTAATTCTGTGAGTGGTCAGTGGAGGACTCTGGAGTTGGCATATGGCTAACCTGTGCCTGTGTTGTCAGGGACTGGTAGTTTCAGGGAGCTGAACCATAGCAGGCAGAGACAAGACTCCCTCATGCTGAGGGCAGGTGATGGTGTTTTGATAATTGGGCCTACAAATTTACCCTAATTGTAAGCTTGACTATCAAAAGTCAGAATAAATTAAGATGTCACACCATAACCTATAACAAATGCTGATGGAAAACGGTACAAAAGGGAGGCAGACTTAATTAGTCCAAACAAAGAGGCCTACTAATATAAACTCCAGGACTGCATTAAGATCGTGCTCAGTAAACAAGAAAATGGGGGACCAGAAATTAATGAACCAAAACTGGTGTGTCAGAAACTAGGCCTAATTAGTGGACAAAATAATGAGGAAATGAGCTATCCTGCCCATCAGTTCCTTTTGTAGTCCTAAAGGAAAGAAATTTCAGAAGAAAAATTGGCTACTGGAGCAAACTTTACCAACATGGCTGCCACCCATCTCCTGAGATCCCAGGACTTCATCATTCTGATCAGGCCAGAGAGAGACACCAGATAAAACTGCCACTTCTCTCCAGCCAACTGACTCCCAACCACCACCTGGGATGAAACAGGTTTGGACTTTAACAGCAACAGCCGCTTCAGCCCATCTCAACTAACTTCTTCTCTTTTCCCAAACAGGACAGTTACCGTCTTTGATACCATCTAAGAGACGGTCACACAAGAATTTTCCCAGCTAGAGGGAAAGGAAACAAGAGATGTTGTTACATAATATTTTACATTTCAAAGGCTTTAACTGTTTTTTTCCCTTCACCTTTAACACAAGTTTAACAGGACATTTAATGGTATGTTTGCCCTAGTGCTAAGCAGGCAGAGGTCTCTGTATACCAAAACTCGAACCTTGTTTAACACTGTAACGTTGGACAGTGACTGAGTTGTGGTAACACCTTTAACCCATATATTCCATCTAAAAAATACAAACAGTAGTGAAGTGCATCACAAACCTGAGCACCCACAGGAAGTGTCACTGTGCCACAAGCTTCGGGTCAGGCCGAAGTAGTCAATGGAAAGGCTTCCATTGTTTTCAATAGACTTCGCATCAAGCTCCTTGTTATGGCCAAAGCCCAATCACCGGACTTCAGCAAGAGTGCCGGCCTAAGGGAATTGGGATCTGGCCCTTGATGTACTAACAATTCGAGATAGTTTTACTAAATAGAAGAGTTACATTTTATTTGGCCTAAATCCCAGAGAGAAGGTACTGTTTAAAAATGTCTATTTTAAAACAATTTTTTTTAAATAAATTAAAAAAAAAATCTGCCTAGCATTTGTCCATTCCAAAAATGGACTTAACCACTCTCTCTAGAAATGTGTGAAAGTCCATAATGAGAAATTAAACATACCTTTTTCACTGGGAAATGTAGAAACTGAACAGAAAAAAAATCAACTGACACCAGCCAAGTCATTTGTTTTTACACATGACTTTTTGGCTACATATCATAGCTGAAAGACTGAGGGCAGACAGTTCATTAAGAGCCCTTAAGTTCATACCTGTGGCACGCAATCACCACCAAAAAGTAGCTTAGACACAGTCAACCACATAAGGCATATACTGTACATTCAACAACGTGCTCGATTTTATCCCATACCTACTTACTATGATCTCAGAAGATTCACAACTGTATGCAAGGTCTTGAGGCCTAATCCTACTCTTCCTCCTCAGACATGAATCCCTCTGAGGTCAGAGTTTAGCTTGAGAAAGGAGAGCAGGTTCAGATCACATCTTTAACACTGGGTAAAAATAACCCTCTAGACAAGAAGTTACTTTTGGTGCCAGTGCCAATTCTACGGGTTAGATGGTCTCTTCTTTCAGGCTAGAGGATAGCTAGCATAGAGCCAACATAAGATTTTTTTTTTTAATAAAGACATTTTATAGACTTTGGACCCAATTCTTATTTACAGATAGGCCCCTTTACACCACTCAGAGCGTAAAGGGGCCTGAAAGTGGACGTAAATTCATATTGACTTTTAAGATCCTTTTATACTTCCACAAGGTGAGAATTGGGCCCTTGTACAAAATAAATAAATATATTTTTTAAAAGACCAATCCTGAAATACTCATAAGCTAGACAGATCAGCATTTTTCGTGGTAAATCACTTCAAGCTTAATGTCATTATATTTCAATACAATGAATACACCGACAGAAATTCCATGGATGCAACGTTTAGACTGTTGCACAGGTAGGAGGCAGTTTGTGTTGGATACCACCCTTCCTAAATAATTAATCAACAAGGATTATGCATGCAGAACAAAAACTGGGCCTATGACATGATCACCAAAGCCAGACTTTGTTAAATATCTATCAAATAGCGATCAGATTTTTCTGAGACTTACCGGAATTTCTCTTTGATACCAACTTCAAATTTGTGCTGACGACTGTACAGATCACAAGAACCAAGAGAACGGGAGGCTTCATCTTTCACTTCCGTTGACAGCTGAAATGCAAACAGAGCAGGAAGTCTGAATCACAGCTCTTTGCTACAACAAAGCAACAGCTAGAGTTGAACATTTCTCAAAGAGCCATTATAGGGCAATGGCTTAAAATAGTGACTTCTCGGGGGCAGCAGGGGGCGTTATGCAGAGCTAGGAAAACGTTTCAAAATGAATAATTTATCTGAGTATCAGACAAAAGTTTTAAAAATGACACGTAGAAACTTTTTTTCCGCCTTTAGAAACAGTTAAAACTATTTATTTCATATAGTACATGTCTATTATATCAATAGATTTTTGTCTGTTCTAGCCAGGAGATTCTGATGGCCACAGTCAGAGTTGTCTCCTACAAAGAAGAGGTATCTTCTAAAATACTTTGATCTCCCACATTACATGACAAGATCTAAGAACAGTTCTTTGCATAATTTCTCTTAGAAACCTTATTTCCCCACTGGTAACATTGCAAGAGCTGTTGCAATGCATTATTACTATTTCCGAGATGTCACCAATAAAATGAACTAAAGACGGGTGAATGAAATTTAGAAGTCAATGAACGCAAGTCTCAAGGTTCTTATTAGAGAGATAAAATTAGTCTTTCCTGAGAATTTTACTGTCAGCTTTATATTACCTAGTTTAGAAAGGAGAGAAATCAAGTTTAAAATTTGCAGTTTTAATTTATATAGTTATTGGAACAAGTTCCACTTTCATTTATCAAAGTCACTCAAGAAAGTGCAGTTGCAAATATACAACACAGTAGAGTAGAATTCAGCCCCTTATGTGTATATAAAAAATAACTATATTAAATTCTAAACCAGCAACAGCTCAAACATGGGATTAGCTTTAAGCACATGTAGTTCCACTGATCCACATGCTTAAAGAGAAACATGAATCAGGACCCTAGAAAGCCATAACTTTATCAAAGACCCCCATTGACTTCAATAGATTTTGGATCAGGCCCTTTATTCTCAGCAAAAACACACACTAGTTAGATCATCCATATTAGGAATGTATAGACATTAAAAGAATACTCAACACCTTACAGCCAGGGCCGGCTCTGGGTTTTTTGCCGCCCCAGGCAAAAAAGCCTCCGGCCGCCCCCGGCCCCCAGCGCGGCAGGGGAGGGCGCGGGGGGGAGGGCGGCCGGAGCCCTGGGAGGAGGGTGGAGTGCCCGGCCAGGGCTCCGGGGGGGAGGGCGGCGAGCCCCAGCTGGGGCTCCGCTCTCCCCAGTGGCTGGGGGGAGGGCGCGGGGGAGGGGGGAGGGCGGCCGGAGCCCTGGGAGGAGGGCGGCGAGCCCCGGCCGGGGCTCCGCTCTCCCCGGCGGCCAGCCCCGGCCAGGGCTCCGCTCTCCCCGGCGGCCAGAGCTGGAGCGCCGCACCCCTCCAGGTGCCGCCCCAAGCACAAGCTTGGTGGGCTGGTGCCTGGAGCCGGCCCTGAACTTACAGCAGAATAACATTTCACAGCGGCAATTATTTTTTTAAGCACAGTAATATGTGAAACCATCAAGCTAAAGGCAAAGGAAATAAATATTTAAGTTCACACAGAGAAATAAAATATTCAGCTGGATAGCCCCCCGTCTCTTCAGAAGCATCCACAACTAGAGGACCAGTGAATTATTGCACACAGATCTGAAAGTTCTTTTAAATAATAAGATATCAAAAGCATGTATACGGCCTGTGATTTTCTGGAAATCATGTTTTAATTTGAGTTTATTACATTATGTCTTTTCCCTCTTCTAATTTTACTACCAGCCTAACCGTCATGTGAAGAAAGTGTAAGGGACCATGGATAATCTCTTGTATGATGGCAATTATGCTGCTATTCTATTATTTCAAAAGTACCACTTCATTTTAAGACTCTATCCTCTCCCCACCCCGTGCTACAGTACTATAGCTATAAATATGCAGTGCTTCTTTCTCCCGAATTCTACCTTTCCTTGAGCACTTTATGCCCATTGATTCCCCAGGGTTACCGTGTTAGAGGACCAAAAGGCTATGTGAAGAATTATGAGAAGTGAAGGCTGTCTCACGATGGTTAATGAAAGAATTAGTATTCATTTTTTCTTAACCTCTCCTTGGAGTACCAAATCCTGATACAAGTAGAGCCATCTTGACGAGACAGTTAAAAAAAATGTAATGGAACAAATCTTTTGATGGCTAATTGCAATGATGATGTTATGCTAGAATGACTTTCAAGTGTAGCTTTGCAAATTGCTTTCTCCACTTTGCTCTCTTCAGTTATTACAGCAGAGGTAGGTAACTCAGGTCCTTGTTTCACACTGGATTTTTTTTTTAAACTAACTACTCTGCAGCAAATAGACTATAAAAACCAAAGCAAATTCTACTTACTAATATATTATTCATGCTAGAGATAATGGGATTTTTGCCAACTGATTTCAATAGGAACAGGATATTGCCATAGGCTTCAGTGGGACCAGGATTTCAACCACTGTAGTGGTTTCCTAATCGGTCTGTCTGCCCAAAGAGACTGAAAGCCTACGGGGTAAATTTAGGTCATTTCTTTAAGTGCCACCATTGGAAAGTAGCACTTTTGAGGCTGTTGTGGCAGAATCAGCAATACTAGACAGCACTGAACATCCCTGTGCAGTCACCTTTAGAAGTACCAGTTGTAATGAAGGTGCTTCAGGAGACCTATATGACTGAGAAGCAGGGTGGGAGGGCAAAGTACTTTAGCCAGTCAATGGATTTCTACCTCTCAGAATTCTCACCTTACTGTGGAAGAACCATTGATGAGAGAAGTAAAAAACTACCTCCAGGCCATGCAAACCTGCAGGTAACAATTTTTCACGATTTAAAATTTACAACTGAGAACTTGAATAATGAAACTGAGGTTATAGAAAATATTGTTCATGCTTAAGAGGATCCCACATAATAAGCTTCTTGAATTCTTTTTTATGACTAGTTATTTGTATTACGGTGATGCTTAACGGCCCCAACTGAGATCCTTTCAGCTAAATATTGTACAGATACATAAGAGAATCTCTGCCCTCAAACAGTTTACAATCCTCGGCTGGTATTTTCCGAGGCAACTGAGGGAGTTTGGCACTTAACTTCCCTAGACCCCTTCAAAATCCCAACCGTAAAGAGAAAACAAAGGGCAAGAGTGGACACTAAAAAGGTAAAATGACTTGTGCAAAATTGGATGGCATGTCAGTGTCAGGCAAATGTGATTTTTCACATTTCGGGGCTGTCCCCTATGTAGGCTATGGAAGGTGGAGAGGACAACATGAATAAATCTCAGCAGATGTCATGTTTTAGGACTTTGCAGGGGGGGACAAGGTTACTCTGCTAGGATTTTTTGAGCCACGTTCCAAGGCACAGAAGACTTCGTATCTCTTTCTAAGGGGAATGAAGGAACTAAGGGCAGAGACAGAAAGGGAGACTCCCTCCTCCCCCCACAGGAAAACATCAAGAACAGGAAATGATTTAGGTTGGGATGTACCTTTTAGTAGTTAACTATGAAGGCAAACCCCAGGCAAGGGGTAAGCATCAGACATTATTCCAGTGGCCGCACATATACCTCATTGAATGCAGGATGTGGGGCCTGACCATTCACAGAACAGGGCACATCCTCAGTTGTGTAAGTTGTCAATGACTTCAATGGAGCTATGACAATTTACATCAGCTGAGGATCTAGAGCAGAAAGAAATCAAGACATTTGAAACATTAAAGAGAAACAGTGGACATTTAACTCCCCAGTGCTCTCTAAGATGCACATGTGAATTGCATAAGAGAGAGGTATGTGCCTGGACACCCCGTCTCCCCAGATAGAGGACATGTGTCAGGGTCAGATCATGGGTAGCCATACCTAATGGTCAGAGCTGTAGTCCTCAGTCAGGAGTCAGCTGGGTTGGGATACTGGGAGGTCAGAAGCAGGAGAAAAACTGGAGATCAGAACCACAAGTCAGAGGCAAGAGAGAAACCAAGGATCAGAAGCCAAGAGAGGCCGGTGGAGCTAGAGTCAGAAGGCACATAGTCCAGAACCGAGCAGATCCCAGGTGTTCAGACAGCTTCCTGTTGCTGGCTTAAGTAGGGCCAAAGGGCCAATCAGCTGCTCTGGAACTCCCAATGGGATGTCGGGGCGGAGCCTCAAACTGGGGCTGGTCCTGGGTCAGCTATTGTCAGCAGGCTGCCAGGTGGACGGTTGGAGCATGGCTGCTCCTGGAATCCCTGTGGACCCAGGTTCAAAGGTCTGTGGGTTATGACAATGTGGAAGGAAAACCCACTGGTTGCATTTGCATCTCATTTGCACTGGTGGGGTTCCCATGTTTCCAGATTGTTAAGTCCTCCAAGTGTGACTAAACTGTTTGTGGGGAGATTTAGATTATTATATCTGCCAAGATCCCCTTTAGTGCAACATAGGGACCAGTTTTAAAAATGTCTTCCTTGTGGGATTCATGGGGGAGAGGAGTAAAGAAAGAGATAAGCCTTGACTGGGTTGTGTTAATTTGCAGAAATATTAGCTATGACAAGCCAATTAAAGTTCAATGTAATTTCCCCATAATAAAAAGATAAAGTTTATTTCTATCCAGGTCAATCCTGGTGGAAAAAAGAATCAAGATTCCAGTTGTATCTTGTTTGACTTCCCTTTAATCAAGGGGAGCCACTGATCCATGCAGAAAGGGCAAGGATAAGGATATATGGCAGGATTTCCCTTGACATTTACAGAAAGAAAAGAGGAAATTCAGCCTTGGGATTCAATGCTTCTTGTGGCTTTCACCTTATTTATTCCATGAGCACAGAAATACAAGGTAAGGAAATACCAAGTTACAGGGCACCTCTTAGCCATAACCTAATGAGCACACCCCACATCACAACAAGGAATGGGCTTCTGCCCTCCACAAATTCAACACACAACAGATGATCACAATGTAATGCACCTCAGTGCTGCTCCCACCCATCCCCACACATACTGCAACTCTATCTGTGCGAACATGGCCAATGCTGCAATGAAGTTTTGGCATTGTACCGGAAGAGAGGGTAATGCT